TTGTTTTTTGTCGTTCGCAAATGACCAGGAACAGGCAAGCTCCACATCGCCAAGTGAAGATTTCGAAGCTTCCATTACTCAAACCATTAGAGCTAGCATTGACTTGAAGCAAGAGGTACGACCATGTGTTTTGTGTGATACCATTCCCCTCTCATGAAAATCAATTTTCAATTTCGCTTTTAATTGAGTCATTCATTTGAGTGTCTGTTTGCACAACACTTTTCATTCAGAAATAATTATAAAGTTTTAGTGGATTTGTTTGCAAACAATTGGTATAAAGTTTTTGGGAAAATAATTATTTACTTGCTATTAGTTATACTGTAGTTATATATATACAGAATATTTTGAAACTGTAAAACTTATAATTTAGTACCTAGATAGTTATAAGCAGTTTAGTATATTAACCAAACGGAATACAAATGAAATTGTCTTTTTTATTTAATAAAACTTAAAAACTTTTAAATCACATCAGTTTTTGGTGCAAATCACATGAGTAGGCTGCATGTCTCAATATTTATATATAGTATACTGTGACGTAGGTTATATTTTAGATCATTTGCAAGGTGATTACATAAAAACTAGTGTTCAGTATTTTGAGGCTTATATGCAAAGTTCTAGAAAAATATTAAAGTTTATTAATTAGACGGTAATGTATTAATAAATTGGTTATAATTGCACTAGTTTTCAAGTGATACCAATTAAAGTTAAAATACTGTTTTATAAATAAACTATAATCTGGTAATATTTACCGTATTTTCAAAATATAAATATCAACAAACGATATTAACAAAAACAAATGCCTTTGATTGAGTTTTTCATTTATTTGCTCTGGACATTCAGGGACTAACATTATTATAATCATAATAAATAAGCGCCTAATAATTACTTTCAAATTTAATTTACACTCCACAGTATAGCTTAAATGGCAAAAATATTTCTATATAGAATAAATTGAAACATGTGATATATCAATTACACTTACCATACCAATGACTCTAACCTACCGTTCCCCTACAGCTACAAGACACTGCCTTAGACCAAATCGACGAGCTTTTCAAACTGGACGCGAGCCAACTGGAACTGGTGGCCCGACTCCGGAACACCGCCCTGGCCTCAGACCATGAAAGGCTGGACGAGTACTGCGAACAGTTCAACGAGTACTGCGAACGGGTGCAGGAGGTGTGTCGGCTCCTACACCACACGTCGACCACCGAAACCACGCAAATCACGTCCAAACACTTGGAGCAGT